CTCCAGCCTGGGCGACAGAGTGAGACTCCAACTCAAAAAAAAAAATAAATAAATAAAATTTTAAAAATTACTCTTTTTTTCAAGATTTTAATGTGGAAATAATTTCAAGTTTATAAAAAGTTGAAAAAAATAAAATACTACAAGGAACTTAATACCCTTTACCCAGATTTACCTTGTTACCATTCTACCCCATTTACTTTATCATTTTCTCTCTCTCTACATGTATGTATATATGTATACATACATACATACACACACACACACACACACATATAAATGTAGATACATAAATTTTTCTGAATAATTTATGAGTGAGTTGCATACTTCATAGCCCTTAAAAGTTCAGTGTTTATTTCCAAAGACTAGGGCTATTCACTTACTGACCTAGTAACTTTCGATTTCATAGCTGAATAGTTGAAATGGTGGTAGTGAAACCAGGACCCATAACATCAGAAATTTGCTCAACTTTCAGTCTTGAAACATCCAAGTGTGCTAAAACAACCTCTCTTCTTCTTTTTGCAGATAGCATAGAAGCCAATGTGGAAAGCTCAGAGGTGCATGTTGAAAGAGCCACTGATCAGTTACAGCGGGCTGCTTACTATCAGGTAAAACCAGGTACCAAGGAAAGTCACTGTGCTGCAGACTTTATGGGCCATCAGAGTATACTGACATATTGAGAACAGCTGCTACCTTTTGCTCGGGCTGGAGGAAAGTAGTCATTATTATAGTCCCAGTTTCATTTTTTGTATTTTCCATTGCAGATAGATCTACAAAAAGTCATAAACCTGTTAGAAGCCTCTACTGCAAAGCTAACCCCATAAGCTAGCATACCTAATCTGTTTTGTTTTGTTTTGCTTTGTTTTGTTTGAGTAGGAATCTTACTCAGTCACCCAGGCTGGAGTTCAGTGCACTCTCATGGCCACTGCAGCCTCGACCTACTGGACTCAGGTGATCCTTCCACCTCAGCCTTCCAAGTAGTTGGAACCACAGGCACGTGCCACTATGCCTGGCTAATTTTTTTGATTTATTGTAGATATGCGTCTTGCCAAGTTGCCCAGGCTGATCTCAAACTCCTGGGCTCAGGCAACCCTCTCACTGCCACCTACCAAAGTGCTGGGATTACAGGTGTGAGTTACCACTCCTGGCCTACTTGGTATTTTTCTATTCTAGCAGACAATACAGTCCCATTTTCTTCCTCCCACATTAATAATATGTAATTTAAGCCAGGCTTGGTGTCTCAGCCTGTAATCCTGCGCTTTGGGAGGCTGAGGTGAGTGGATTGCCTAAGCCCGCGGGTTCGAGACCCGCCTGGGCAACTTGGCGGAACCTCATCTCTACAATAAATGAAAAATTAGCCGGGTGTGGTAGCGTGCGCCTGTAGTTGGAAGGCTGAGGCGGAAGGATCGCCGGAGCCCAGCAGGTTGAGGCTGCGGTGGCCGGCAGCGTGCCACTGCACTCCAATCTGGGTGACGGAGTGAGATTCCAACTCAAAAAAAATAAAAATAAAAAATAATATGTAATTTATTGTCCAATTATTCAAAGATGATTTGGAACGACGCACTTGTGATTCCTGAAAACCACTTCTCAACTGATCAGTCAGATGGGACCGATTCCAAGTGGGACATAGATTTTTCATTATTTTTTAATGGAAAACTTCAAGGAAACATACACGTTTGAAAAATTTGCACTTGCATAAGTTTGTCTTGTATAATCTCCAGCAATTTATGTCCCCTGGGAAGGGACATCTGAGTAGTTTGCTAGATTTATGATGTCCCTTCAGGGGGGACATCTGAGTGCAAAGGGTAAGTAAATTATATACATCCACTCAATGTTGTATTATATGGGAGTTAAGAGATGTTTATGAAGAGTTTATAATAACCCAAATATTTATGCTAAACATTGAGAAAAACATCAAACATCATACAGTACGATCTCAACTATGTCATACTAACAATATACATAGATAAAAGATCAGGAGACACAATCCAAATGTTGACAGTTTTATCTGCGTGTGATTATTTCTCTTTCAGCTTGACTACTTTTTAGAAAAATGAACATAAAATTTAATAATCCATATAAACTGTCACTAACATACACATACATAAATTACTTTATTGTGAATAATACCTATAGTAGCTTATCTCCTTTGCAAAACTATATTTGGGGACATGGAATTAAAACTTGCACTACTACCTAGTACCAGGGACTGTTGAGATTTTTGGGCTGTTTGAGATTTTTTGTACATGGAGTTAATTTTGAATTACATAAACTTGAGGCAAATTTATGAAGCACTCTTGGGGTCTTAGATATACAGAATTTTACTTGTTTCATGAGTGTCTTGTTTACATATTTCTTTCCTCAGAAAAAATCTCGTAAGAAGATGTGTATCCTGGTGCTTGTCCTGTCAGTGATTATTTTAATCTTGGGACTTATTATCTGGCTAGTTTATAAAACGAAGTGATTACCTCAGAGACTTCTCCCGCTGAGCTGTTTTCAAGGGCAAGTGCTTGTTGGAGTCTTACCAGAACAAACTGATCACAAGAAGAGAGCATACACCAGAATGTCCTGTAATAATTTAGTTAGAAACTAACTACTAACTAGTCCTTGGAATTAGTGACCTATGGAGACAGTATTTATCAACTTATTGATTTTATTGATTTCACAAATTAGGAATTAACCTATGTGGATTTTGCTTTCTCTTATATTCTGATTGCCCTTCATCTCTACTGTTTACTGAAAATTCTAGATATTCTTGATATTCTAGATATTCCATTCTAGATATTCTTGTTTTGACAGGTGACACTACAGCTCGTAACATTGTCTTTTATGTATGTACAAAATTTACCTTTTTATTAGCAACTGAGATAGAATTACTTACTGGCACCCAGCATATTAGAATCTGTCAGAAGCTGTATAATAGGCCAGCAGTTTTTATTATTTAACATTTTAATTTAAATTTATAAGAAGCCTATTTCCTATGTGTTTTGAAAGATTTTGGCACTATATTTAATTGGAAAGTAAGAAATTGCACATGTGATCCAGATTAAATGAGAAGTATCTATTTGAGCTGACCAGTTGCTGGGGGTACATGTTACTAATCTGGGTTTAAAGTTTACTTTATTATTGCTAGTGGCATCCACAGCAGTTCATCCTCATACATACTAAGCCATCTTGTCACTTTTTAAAGAGTTTAATTTAATTAACATTAGTACACTCTATGGGGTCCCTCTCCCACCTATCTGCTTAGAAAGGGAGAATTAGACATAGCATGCTTTTGAAAAGCAAATAGGAATTGTTCAAAATGATTTAATCTTTTTATTGTTATTCACTTGTGGTTTTACATTCCTGGTGAATGATGAGAGTTGCTGTCAAAAGGCTGCCCCCTACCCTATAAGGGTTGCTGGGCATTTGATGGCGGGAAGATTTTAAAAGAGACTGAAATTGGCTTAAAACATAGTCCTATGAGCTTGGGGATAAAGCAAAGAAAATATTCATTTTTGTAAATAATACTGGTTTGGAACAGTGATGTTAGACTTACCCTAATTTATGAACAAGAGATTAATCTCTCCATGCATAGTTTTAGACCAAAAAAAGTTTCAATAAAATTGCTGTCTTGTAATATAAATGTTGTCCACTTCCCTTTTTCACAGACCTAGAATAGTTAAAGGGAATATAGTTGTTTAGGTTCTCACCTAAAGGTGAACTGGGCCAACAACTTCGGTTCATCCCTCAGTAAATTTGAGGATTTAGCTACCTTGGGTATATTTATATTAATCTCTTGCATTCCCCTTAATGTTACTTAATCTTCTAAATCAAACAAATGTGAACAGTAGGGAAACAAGCACCCACATGCATATGTTTCTTTGCACTTAATAAACATTTTTAAAACTTTTGTAGTAAGTTCTTATGAGTTAACATCCTAATGAAGTAGGTAACAGGTAATGTGCTGTTATGAGAAAAATTGAGAGTTGCAAGAAGACTGGAGACCAGGTGAGGGTTGGTTTTGGGGGTGGAATATATGTTGCTGCCTTTCCTTGAAAAACAGGATAGAGCTGTTGGGGTGGCACAGTGGCCCAACCAGCAGCTTCAGAGATAATTCCTTGATTCTATAATTGTCCTATTAGCTCCAAATTATAGTTGAGCTTAGATACAGCATATGTAACATTTCAGGAAAGAAAGTCTTGGTCATGAGAAACTATTTACATTTGGTTAAAATAAAGTGACTGTAAAATAAAAGGTCTGTTCTATAATATTATGTTATCTGGTGGTGGTCGTAATGATGGTCATGGGGAGCAAATATGAACTTGGCCTAGAATTTGAGTGGCCAAGAATTTGTGGTAGTTGCCAAAGAGTTTCTACTATATAGTCCTAAGAAACGTATGCACAAGCAGGGTGCAGTGTCTCATACTTATAATCCCAGTACACTGGGAGGCTAAGGCAGGAGAACTGCTTGAACCAAGGAATTGAAGACCAGTCAGGGCAACATAGTAAGACCTTGTCTCTACAAAAAAATAGAGAAAGTAGCTGGGTGTGGTGACACTTACCTATTGTGTTCCTACCCAGAAGAGGTGAAAGAATTGCCTGAACCCAGGAGGTCAAGGCTGAGGTGAGCCATGATCGTGCCATTGCAGTACAGCCTGGGTGACAGAGTGAGACTCCACCTCAAAAAAAAAAAAAGTTTCTAACGGGAAGCCATAGTTAAGAATTGATGTTCTAGACAATGATGCTTCCAATGATAATCAAGGCATAGATAAAGAGGCTGATCGTGGTGGCTCATGCCTATAATCCCAGCACTTTGGAAGGCCGAGATGAGAAGGTTGCCTGAGCCTATGGGTTCGAGACCAGCCTGGGTAATTTGGCAAGATGTCGTCTCTAAAATAAATTAAAAAATTAGCCGGTGTGGTGGCATGTGCCTGTAGTTCCAGCTACTTGAAGACTGAGGCAGAAGGATTGAGGTTGCAGTGGGCGTGAGCATGCCACTGCACTCCAGCCTGGGCAACAGAGTGAGACTCCAACTAAAAAAAAAAAAATGTAAATAAGTAAAATAAAAATACAATGCTGGCTTCAGCTGCACTATTATACTACAATTGGAATGATACAGGGAAGATTAGCATGGCCCCTGAGCAAAGATCACATGCAAATTTGTGAAGCATTCAATATCTGTTTTTTCTTTTTGTTTTTTTTTTGAGTTGGAGTCTCACTCTGTCACTCAGACTGGAGTGCAGTGGCCACTCCCGGCCACCGCAGCCTCGACCTGCTGGGCTCCGGCGATCTTTCCGCCTCAGCTTTCCAAGTAGCCGGAATTACAGGCATGTGCTACCATGCCCGGCTGATTTTTTGATTTATTGTAGAGATGAGGTCTTGCTGCCCAGGCGGGTCTCGAACCCGCGGGCTCAGGCAGTCCACTTACCTCAGCCTCCCAAAGGCGCGAGATTACAGGCTGAGCCACCGAGCCTGGCTCGACATAGGGATTTTTAAAGGCTCCAGGTAATTATGTGTAAGTTTGGTTGAGAAGCATTTGTTTGGAGGTCAAAAACTAGACTAGGATGCAAAAGACCTGAAGAATCTTAGCTCTGCCATTAACTTGCTGAGGGTATTTGGACAAATCACTTAACCCATGGGCCCCACATTTTCTCACTAGTCTTTTCCAGCTATGAAATTTTTTTATTATAGGGACCACAGGGGTTTGGTCTGAACATACAGATTTATGTGCTTCTCTTTCCTTTTCTTATCCTCTTTTCTACTTCTTTATGGAATGTTCCAGGAGTACTGGGTAGATCTGGCATTCTCTCTTCAGTGAATTAAAACTATAGTACTGTATAGGATAAAGTAGAAATATAATTCTGGCTACTTCATCTGGGAATGTTCCAGAACAAGAACTTGCTAGATACTAGACTGATGTTCCCAGAACACCAATGTGTGTGGGGGGGTGTGTGGTTTTTTCCTAGGGTAGGAATGGGAGTGTTTGCCTGCTGCAATGCATAATCTAGCTCTCAAGCCAAACTTCACCCTGCCTGTACCATTGGACAAACTATCAAAATGAAATTACCATTCATTCTGCACAAAAGAAAACATTCAGTCTTCCTATTCAGAGACTGTCCTCAGTCATAAGAATGCAGCTTTTCCTTTTGGTCACTAAGTACATTCCAGAGCCCAACTCAGATCTCAGTCCATCCTGTTCATAGGGCTGGGAATCACCTGCTTCTTCCCTGCTTTTCAAGCATGTTTACTGTATTCATAGACTTCAGGGATTTTTCAGCATTGTTTTCCAGCCTCACAAAATACAACTGCTTTATAATTTCCATTTAACCAGGAAATTGAAAGATTTTGATTCCCAGCCACTGATCCCACTTTTAGACAAACTGAGTAGTTCATTTGAACACTTTACCAAAATGAAACTTGATAGTACAGCATTTAATTTATTTATTGTAGAGACGAGGTCTCACCAAGTTGCCTGGACTGATCTCGAACCCACGGGCTCAGGCAGTCCACTTGTCTTGGCCTCCCACAGTGCTGGGATTACAAGATGAGCCACTGATCCTGGCCATGGTACAATTTTTAATGTTGAACTGTGATTAAGGACCAGGTTTTTACGAGTTCTTGGAGAAATAAGAAAAATGATGTTTTATATCTAACTTTTTTTTTTTGAGTGGGAGTCTCACTCTGTCATCCAGGCTGGCATGCAGTTGGCATGCTCACAGCCTCAACCTGCTGGGCTCAGGCAATCCTTCTGCCTCAGCCTTCCAAGCAGCTGGAACTACAGGCATGTGTGGCCATGCCCGGCTAATCTTTTGGTTTATTGTAGAGATGAAGTCTTGTCAAGTTGCCCAGGCTGGTTTTGAACCCCTAGGTCCAGGCAATTCTCTCTCCTTGGCCTACCAAAGTGCTGGGATTACAGGCATGAGCCACCACGCCCAGATCTTCCAATTTTTTTAAAAGGATATTTTAATATATTTTTTTAAATGAAAAGGTGGCGATGTTAGATAGCAGACTTCATTTTTAAATCTCCTTAGTGGGCAAAATAAAAGTCGATACCCCTGTATTTTCTGGTCTACAGTATCTCTACAGTTTGAAAAACCACTTCTCTAGACTAGCTCCATCATTTTATAACTAAAGTTGAGGCCATGAATAGCAGTTTATTATAGGAATTTAAAGGTCTAAGGAGGTGCTCTGCATGTGAATGGTCATTTGTGGGATGATATTTGAGCCCACTGTTAAGTTATTGTGTTAAATATTTTACATTTATTACACCCACAAAACCATCTAGAAGATGTATTTTTCTTGTCTCCCTTTTATGGATCAGGAAGCTGAAACATAGTAAGTAACCTGCCCATGGTCATACAACTTATCAGTGATGGAGCCAGGATTTGACTTCAACACTAAGACTTCAAAAGTATACCTTTAGACACTGTACTATCTCCATGCATCTCACTGATACAAACTGTCCTGTCCACCACCTCTTCCACAAAGCTTTCCCTAAAAATCTGGAGAAGTGAAAATTTCTATCCAACTTTTCATAAACATCCTTTCTTCTGTCAGCACCTTGTGAACTGTTCATTTACATCCTGCTAAATGAAGACTCCTGTTTGTACTATGTATACATACACAATTTTTTCACTGCCTCCATTTGATTAGTCATAAATCAAAGATATTTTTAAAGTTTTCTGACATCAATATGTTCCTAATGCCTTTTTTTTTTTAAAAAGACATGGTCTTGCTCTGTTGGCTAGCCCTGAGTACAGTGACACCCTCGTAGTTCACCGTAACCTCAAACTGCTGAGCATTAGCGATCCTTCCGCCTCAGCCTCCTGAATAGCTTGGAGTACAGGCGTGCCACCATGCCTGGCTAATTTTATTTTTGCTTTTTGTAGAGATGCTGTGTTGACCACGTCAGTCTCAAACTCCTGGGTTCAAGCAATCCTCCTGTCTCATCCTCCCAAAGTATTGGGATTACAGGTGTGAGCCATTGCTCCCAGCTTCCTAATGTCTTTTCCAAGGACGTCAGTCAAAGGCTAAGAAATTAATCTGCGTTTGTTGAGATACCAGAAACCAAAGGCAGCTAGCCCATCAGTCTTTCCATGTTAAAAGGTTAAGGGCCTAGAGTACTGCCCTCCAGTTTGTTTGCCTATACTGACATCATTGGCGCCCAAACAAAGAGCATTTTGCTTTAAAAGGGCCTAGGTAAGGGTAAGGTGCCACTACATCGGAGGCCAGTATGAATATCAGCTATGTTGGAAACAAAGAACAAGGCCAAGAAGTAAAGAATCACAAGGGTAAGATTACAGCTTTTAGGTTTCTTGGGTATACAGTCAACACTAGAAGGATCATACACAGAAGCTGAGAAATCGAAAGGCAAAGTTGACATAAGGTGCTATCAGATCACTGATAACTAGAGATGGCTTCAATACTACTACCCTCTATGCCTGAAAGGGGGGGTGGAACCTTAAAGGCACACACAATCTCTGTAGATAAAAGAATCTTATCCTTTTCTGTTATACTAAAAAATACTTCCTTCCCCAAAATCATGTCTTGTCCTGATATAGTGGTTCACACCTGTAATCCCAGCACTTTGGGAGGCTGAGGTGGGAGGATTACTTGAGCCCAGAACTTCGAGGCCAACCTGGGCAATATAGTGAGACCCTGTGTCTACAAAAACAATTAGCCAGGTATGGGAACTATTCAGGAGACTAAGGAGGGGATTGTTTGAGCCCAGGCGTTAAAGGCTGCAGAGAGCCGTGATCGTGCCATGGCACTTCCATCTGGGTGATGGTGAGATCCTAACCAAAGGAAAAAAAATTCATGTCCTTATGTTCAAAGGAGGGAGCCAAAGGATCATCTCTGTTTTTTTTTTTTTTTGAGTTGGAGTCTCACTGTCACCCAGACTGGAGTGCAGTGGCCGCTCCCGGCCACCGCAGCCTCGACCTGCTGGGCTCCGGCGATCCTTCCGCCTCAGCCTTCGAGTAGCCGGAATACAGGCATGTGCTACCACACCTGGG